TTTTCTCTACACTGAGTTTCATTTTGTTAGAGAGGGCCCAGGGTTCTATCAAGGTCTTCTAGTCCAACCCCGCTGCTGAAGCCGGAGACTCTACACCATGCCAGACAAACGGCCGTCCGATCTCTTCTTTGAAAACCTCCAGGGATGGGAAGCACCCACCGCGTCTGAAGAGAAGCCCTTCAACACCACCTTTTCTAGAAGCGTGGGTCCCGTCGGCGTAATATGCAAGGAAGGGTTTTGTTTTTATTTTTTGCTCTCAGCTGCTTCTCCGGCACTTCATTACAGCGTGTTTGCAAAATGGGTGTTTTGCTTTCCGTTCCCACTTGGGAAGAGCCAGCTGGTAATCAACCTTGCCAATCGGAGGGGAAGCTTCACTGCTGAAGGGAAAGTGGGAGGAGGAGGAGAGAGGCCACCCCAGCGTCTTTCTCTGGAAGAAGACGGAGAAAGGACAGAAGGCGAACATCCCCCCTTGGCCTTCTGACTGTGCGGATGCTTGAAACGGACCCACGGGCCGCGAGCGGCGTAGCAAAAAGGACGGCGAAATCGCGACGTGGCGTCTCCTCTACGCAAACCAACAGCCGTGATAAGCTACGTTCGGGGGTGGGATTCAAATATCCGGTTCTCTGCCCGGTTCTCTGGGTGGGCGTGGCCATGGTGGGCGTGGCCTCCTGGAACTCCCGAGAGGGCCATTTTTCGCCTTTCCCCGGAGTCCCGAGGCTTCCCTCGGTCCTCTGGGAGGGTGAAAATGACCCAAGCCTTGTTCCAAGGAAACAAACACGAAACCGAGGTAACGGCAAAACCTTGTAATGATTCTTTATGAATTCCGTTCCTTCCCGGTGAAAAGGCTGTTTCAAACTAATTGTTTCTGATAAGAACGAGCCTTGCCGAGGTGGTGCAAGGCTGCCAAGAACACTAGATAAAGTTACTAAGAAATATTTCCAACACAAAGAGTCTCCAGACACAAACCAGGATAGCCTGAACTTCCACAAGGCTTGAAGGGCAAGAACTTCTTTGCTTCCTGCAAAGAATCCCACCTCTGAGGGCTAGCTTTTATCCCTTTAGGGAGGAGGCATTGCCTTGCAGCCTTACTCTCCTCGGGGGCCTCTTCCTCACTGCTGCCAGCCTCCACAATCTCCGAAGGCAGCTCTCCACTCCCTGGTGGTCCTGGCCCCATCCCTGCATCGCACGCAGGACCCTCATCTGAGTCCCTCACTCTCCGAGACCTCAGCCATTTGCACCTGCTGCTGGCGAACCTGGAACTTCCGGTTCGGCCCAGTTTTCGCCCTCCCAGAGCCTCCACGCAAACTCTGTACTCACCTGCATCCAAAACAGGCTGTATGGAGACTCCTGGGAGGGGGAGGGCAAGGTGGGAGGGGCAAGCTGGTCAGTTCAACTCCCGGTTCGGCGAACCAGATATAAATTAAACATCCGGTTCGCCTGAACCAGGACAAACCAGCTGAATCCCACCCCGGCTGCGTTCCTTCTGTTTGGCTGGCACAAGCGAACATAATCCCAGATTAACTTGTTAACAGGCCAACATTTCCTCCTTCCCAGGGATGCAAAGGGGAGATTCATTTAAATTAATCCAATGGGGCGCAGTGGTCAGAGTGCATTACTGCAGGCTGCAACTGCCTGCACTTTGGCAGTTCGAGGTCCCCCAGGCTTAAAGTTCCCAAAGTTGGAGACCTCTGGCCTAGAGAATAGCATCTTCCTAAAACAAACAAACAAACATACATACATACATTCTTAAGTTTTCACGGGTACTTACATGTATGGTATTCAGCTTTGTTTGGGTATTTTCCCACATCGTTATAGTTGTGCTTTTAAAGTTGTAGCAACGTTTCGGCAGAATCTCATCTGCCATCATCAGGCTTCTGTGTTTGCTTCAGACGAACACAATATAGAAGCCTGATGATGGCAGATGAGATTCTGCCGAAATGTTGCTACAACTTTAAAAGCACAACTACAATGACGTGGGAAAATACCCGAACAAAGCTGAATACCATATCTATCTATCTATCTATCTATCTATCTATCTATCTATCTATCTATCTATCTATCTATCTATCTATCATCTCTCTCTCTCTCTCTCTCTCTCTCTCTCTCTCTCTCT